TTTTGGATCTGTAGGTTCACCCCCTTTACCTGTCCCAACAGTTCATAGATGAGGTGGATGTTGGAGTGGGGACCAACTCATAGCCCTGGTTCTGGGCCTGGGTGGTAGCTGGGTTATTCAGCCTGCCAGCTTTCCCTCATCGTCACTACCTGGGTGAGCTCTCCAGCACCGTTTCCTTGGCTAGCTCACCCAATGCAGCAGGGCTGGTTCTCCTGCTCTCAGGTCCTCAGATCTAGATCACCAACACTCACAACAAAAGGGACAGCTGTCAGGACCAGCCAACCTGTCAAACAGCACCTGAATAGGGGAGTGAAGATTAAGAAAAAACAGAGATGAAAGATTGTAGCTAATGTTTTCCTGTGTCCCGGCCTGCCAGCAGTCAGGACAATTCTCTCCCATTAGCATCCCCCAAGTAAACACACAGAGGCTAATGGCTCAGGCTTCTTGCTAGCTAGATCCTACATCTTAAATTAACCCATTTCTATAAATCTATACCTTGCCACATGGCTCATGGCTTACTGGTATCTTGCATGTTGCTACTCATGGTGGCGGCTGGCAGCATCTCTCTGACTCAGCCTTCCACTTCCCAGAATTCTCCTCTCTCCTTATCCCACCTAAACTTCCTGCCTGGCTACTGGCCAATCAGCACTTTATTTATCAATCAATCATCCACAGCAGAAGATAGAATCGGGAGGGCTCTCAGTGAATACTGCAGCAGCCCCAAATTTATTTCTCAAAGCCTTTTTATACCCCAAGCAAGGGAGCAAAAAGACTTCCTTACCATGGACCAAGGAACAGACAAGTATAAACACCTCCTGATATTCAGCCTTGAGGAGCAAAACATCTGGTAACCATGGCCTTTGGCAAAACATCCCGTTATTCAGCCTTGAGGAGCAAAAACAAGCTTGAGCTCTCTGACCTTAAGACAGAATCAAGCCACAAGATGGAGTCACTGTGGGCCCCTACAGACAGCCCTATTGTTTCACCCTGGAGAGGTACAGGGACCTCTCACCTGTTTGCTATAGGAACCATACGAGGTGGGAGGAAGGGTGAGCTCTCCTGCTCTCATACCTCTTAATAGACATTCAATGCCAACTCTTAACGTCCTTGTGACCAACAAATTAAACCCTTTTAAGGTTGTATGAACAGACCCTGGATTCCACCAATCCAGACTAAAAATGTCATCAGATAGCAGCTGGGCCCCTATCTGAGAACTTCCCCACTTTGCTGTAATCCATCCACAGATGTTGCCACCAATTTATCTTTAAAAGTGCCTTGATTGATAACTTTCATTGCTCTGTTACTATAAGAAGTTAATGAAAATGCTACCCCACAGGAACATGGGATTTAGGTTATCCTAAATTCCATGTTCCTGGGCTATGGTCATTCATATTTTGCTCAAAAATAAACTACTACTCCCTTTGAAATGAGCTCTGCACTTATGCATCAACAGCATTACAATGACGTAACACTTTGCAGAGATTTTTAAGTGTTTAGCATTTTGTCATTTTCTTGTGTCTACTCCAGAAAGCAGTTTTCCTACTTGCTAGCTCCAGCATTCATTTAAACTTCCAGACCTTCAGGGCTGCAGTTAAACCATCTTCAGTGTGAGCCAAACATCAGTCTGTGGGAAAGACCTCTACCAAAACTGTTTTCCCTTGGTCCTTGGTAGGCCACTGCATCCAAGGAAGTAGCTGGTCTCTGTCGATGCTTTTTTTGCCTTCTTTATTTTTTAACATAAGTGGGTGGAGATGAGGTACTGTTCTACTATACAGCACAGGCTGTCTTTTAAATCAAGCTCCTCCTACCTCAGTGTCCTGGGTTTTGGGATTGTAGGCATGGACTATCAGGCTTGGCTGATTCTTGAAGTCCATCAGAGTTCTTTCATTTTTAGTAGTTTATTTCACATGGCTAGTTATCATCCTTTGTGTTAAGTGTTTTCTGGTGTGGTTTCTGTCTTCTGTCTTTTGACTGGAGCTTGACTGAGAGAATTTACAAATTCTCCAACTTAAGAATCTCACAAAGTGTTGGAGAAAATCAAGGAAGAGAGCTAATTTTAGAAGGGATCACTCTGGATCCCAAACTGGACAAAGATATAATAACGAAATAAAACTAGAGTAATATTGTACATGGGCATAGATGCAAACAACCTTACTCAATAAAAGAACTTCTATACAGCAGAGCAATGGTAATAACAACTGCATGGTATTGGCATAAAAACAGACAGGTGGATCAGTGGAACCCAACTGAAGACCAGAACTTAATCCACACACCTATGAACACGTGATTGTTGACAAAGAAGCCAAAATTACACAATGGAAAAAAGAAAGCATCTTCAACAAATGGTGCTAGTCTAATTGCATGTAGGCATGTAAAAGAATGCAAATAGATCCATACCTATCACCCTGCACAAAACTCAAGTCCAAGTGGATCAAAGACTTCAACATAAAACCAGAGACACTGAACCTGATAGCAGAGAAAGTGGGGAATAGCCTTGAAGGTGTTGGCAGAGGAGACAACCTCCTGAGCATAACAATAATCGCACAGGCACTGAGTTTGACAATTAAACAATGGGACCTCATGAAACTGAAAAGCTTTTGTAAGGCAAAGGACACTGTCAAAAGGACAAAACAGCAGTCCACAGAATGGGAAAAGGTCTTTACCAACCCCATATCTGACATAGGGCTAATATCCAATATATATAAAGAACTAAAAAAAAAAAGAAAACTAGACATCAACAAACCAAATAATCCAATTAAAAACGGGATACATATCTAAACAGAATTCTCAACAGAGGAATCTCAAGTGGCTGAGAATCACGTAAAGCAATGTTCAGCATCCTTAGCCATCAGGGAAATGCAAATCAAAACACTGAGATTCCATCTTACACCTGTCAGAATGGCTAAGATCAAAAACACTGAAGACAGCTCATGCTGGAGAGACTATGGAGCAAGGGGAACACTCCTTCACAGCTGGTGGGAGTACAAACTTGTACAGCCATTTTGGAAATAAATATGGTGGTTTCTCAGAAAAATTAGGAATCAATCTACCTCAAGACCCAGTTATACCACTCCTGGACATATACCCAAAGGATGCTCCACTATATCACATGGACATTTGCTCTGCTATGTTCATAGCAGCTTTATTTGTAATAGCCACAAACTGGAAACAATCTAGATGTTCTTCAACTGAAGAATGGACAAAGAAAATGTGGTTCATTTACACAATGGATTTATTACTCCGCTGTTAAAACAATGACATCAGGAAATTTGCTGGCAAATGGATGGAACTAGAAAAGATCATCCTGAATGAGGTAACCCAGCTCAAGAGGCAAATATGGTATGTGCTCACTCACAATAAGGAGAACCATGGTACAATCCACAGACCCAATGAAGCTAAGTAACAAGGAGGGCTCAAGTAGGGAGGGTGCATGAATCATATTATGAAGGAAACAGAATGGATCTGGCCAGTAGACAGAGGGAGGAGACTGGTAGGGGGGATGGGGATGGAACAGGAGGGATCAGGCAGGGGAGGGGAGGACGGAGGGAGACAGTACAGGGAGAGACAATTGGAATCTGGGGACATCTCTGGGACGAGCCAGAAACCTAGAGCAATGGAAACTCCCAGGAATCTGTTGAGAGTGAGCTTAGCTAAGACTCCTAGCAAAGAGGATACGGAGCCTGAACCAGCCATCTCCTGTAACCAGGCAAGACTTCCAGTGGAGAGACTGGGACACAGACTCTTCAACCCACAATTTGTCCTGCCTACAGGATGTGCTGGGTTAAAGGTGGTGCAGAAACTGTGGGAGTGACCAACTAATGACTGGTCCCGTTGGAGACCCATACCCAGAGAGGGAACTTACCCCTGAGGGCCAGGACCCAGAGGCAGTATACACCAGAGACCAGGATAGAACCAAACAGGACTTGTGGGGAGGGGAGTCAATGGAATGATTCCTAGTGATATTCTGATACACTCATAGATTGGTGCCTAGCTCTACTGTCATCAGAGAAGCTTCACCTAGCAACTGATGGAAACAGAGACAGAGACCCACAGCCAAACATTAAGTGGAGCTTGAGGAATCCTGCAGAAGAGGGGGGAGGAGGATTGTGGGAGCCAGAGGGGTCAAGGACACCATAAGGAAACCCACAGAACCAACTCACCTGGGCTCATAGGGACTCACAGAGATCAAAACCACAACCAGGGAGCCTGCATGGGACTGACATTGGCCCTCTGCACTTTGTTACAACTGTGTAACTTGGTCTTGTTGTGAGACTCCTAACAGTGAGAGCAAGGGCTGTCTCTGACTGTTGCCTGCTTTGGGGGCCTGTTCCTCCTACCAGATTGCCTCATCCAGACTTAACAGAAGAGGAGGTGCCTCGCCTCGCTGCAACTTGATATACCATGGCTGGCTGATATTCATGGGAAACTACCCCCCCACACACACACTTCACCTGAAGAGAAAACACAAGGCGGGGGTGGATGTGGGGGAGAGGACATTGTGAGGAAGAAAGGTCAGAAAACAGAAGCAGAGGAAACTTTCCCTGGATAAAGGGATCTAAAAACAAAAGAAAAAAAAAGAAAAAGAAGGGAGGAGGGAGAAAGAAACCACCTGAAATATCATGCTAATGGTGAACGCCATTCTTCCTAAGATTGGGAACAAGGTGAGGATGTTTGATCTTAACACTCCACATTGTTGTACCTGAAAGTCCCAGCCAGCACAAACAAGCATCTTCTGAAATAAAGCAGACCCACTGGGAAAGAAGCGACACCCCCTGCGGCCACAGATGACAGAATTGTACGTGCAGAAACCTTCATGTATCCAGACACAATACACAGCATGGGTACGGACACTTTCATCGGGACTTTAGCACTGGGGAAGGGGATGTGACATCACAGGATCCTCTGGGGAACAGTTGGGGGTTTTGTATAAAGTTAAACATAAGAGCTAGTAATCTTTCTCCCCAGTTCATCCAGAAGAAATAAATGCACAGTCTCAAAGATTTGTGCGTAAATGCTATCCTGAGTTTTATTTTTAACCTCACTAAAATAGGAGACGGAGAAACGAAACTGTGGTACAGTCGTCCAGTGGAGTTCTCTTGAGAAATACAAAGGAGCGCATCACTTCGGCAAGAGATAACCTGGACAAACCTCACAGCGTTCGGCCGATGGAAAACAACCATTCAGAAGAATGAATAGCACATCATGTCACTGGCACCACGCTTTTCAAAACAAATTTTTAGCAACAGAAATATCAATGGTTGCCTGAAACTATTCTCATAGCTAATTGTACAGGTGTAACAGGGAACCCCTGGAGTGATGGAAATAGTCAATAGCTTCATTGGAGTGCTAGTTACAAGGGAATCTTTACATTTATCAAAACACCAAACTACACTCTTAAAATGGGAATATTCTTTTATATATAAATTTCATGTTAGTTTTCAAAAATATTTAAAAATTTATACTATAAATCACTTAGGCTTGGTTTTAATATAATTTTTCTTTAATCTGATTTATACCAGTAATTAGCTTCAAGTTTTCAAAAGCAAGACAAAATCTCATTGTAGTTCTAACAGTGTTAAACTGCTACAAATTCCCATGTAGTAGAAATAATTCAGTCATTTTTTCTTATAAAGAATTCCAGAATTCACTTTACCCACATGAAAAACTGATTTGTTTCTAAAAGTTACATTAATGTTTAATGTACTAATTAGAAACATGCTTACCAACATTTAAATATAAACACTGGGAATATAATAAGTGCATCTAGCCATAGAAACATTAGGAGGTGACCCAATTCAGTTGAGCTGGTAAAAGGCTAAGTGACCCCTCCTTCCACATATATAGACATGAAGGCATTCATTTTCCAGATCCAGCTGTGAGGACATACGGCAAAAGCCTAAGAAATGCACAGGAAAGCTGCTCGACCCACCTACAGCATTGGCTTATGTGGGGGAAATGTTCTCAAGATAGTTATAAGGGTGATAAGAGTTAAAAGTCAGAAGTAAGATAAAGAATACAAACAACCCAAGTTAACCTGATTATTTTTAATAGTGCAAAATAGCTTTGGAGTTAGTTTATTAATGAGGTATTTTTCAAAGCATCCCACCATCATTTCATACAATTCCAAAAGCATCATTACGGGGGGAGGGAGGCAGAGAGAGAAGGAGGAAGGGAGAGGGAGTGTGTGTGTGTGTGTGTGTGTGTGTGTGAGAGAGAGAGAGAGAGAGAGAGAGAGAGAGAGAGAGAGAGAGAGAGAACAGCCTGTTGGAGTATCTGTTGAAGTGTTCATCTACTTCCTCTTAAGCATCAGCATCTTCTAAGGAAGCCTCAACTCACTTAGACACACGTCAGTGCTCACAAATGCACCTCTGTGGTTCTCAGGTCCCAGCCATCTGCATGATCATTTACAAACAATATGGAGAGAGCTACCTTGGCATTAGTGCCAAGGCTGCCAGGCAGGAACCACCCAAACCACTCCTGAAGGATGGGACTAACAAACGATGGGTCTTAAGGGCTAGCACAGGCAATGCCAAAGACACCTGCATTCCTTCTGGAATTAGTTCTAATTCAATCTTTCACAGGATCTGGCAAAAAATGTACTATTTTCCCTATCTACTCTTCATAATTGTTAGCCTCAAAGGCTCATATTATAGGTCCATCAAAACTGGCCCTGAGTCAAAGTCAAAAATAGAAAATCCAAAATAGTGTCTTGATGTCCTGTGAGTACTAGCGAGCCGCTTCCACGTGAAAGTTGTCGAACTGCGCAAACTCGAAGGTGTGCGTTCCTATCGCAGCCCAGCCATTCCTTGAGTATTTCACAGGAACGTTTTCCCACAGGACCTTGCCGTTCAACATGCCAGAGGCGAAATAATCCTGCAGGAGAGAGAAATGTGTCCTTTGAAAATGTGGAAACAGTTCTCTGTGGTCTGTTTAAGAATGCAGCCAGCTACTTAACGGGGCACACATCTTTCACCCAAAACCCAGAACTGTAAAACACAGTTTCTCGCGTTTGAGCAAAAGTCTGAAATACATCAAAATTTTTTTGAAAGAATTAAGAAGTACCTGTCTAAACAGTTCCCAATATATGTTAAACCTCAATATTTCCTGATGTTTCACACCAAATCAAAACCAAAAAATAAGCCCGTAATATTTTATAGCATTATTGTGAAGCTTCAGACAGAAGTCCATTAAACAATACAGTCATTGCACATACCAGTCCTTTGGCTAAGTGAGAGATTCCTCCAGAGTCTGCTGGAGCCCAAATGCCTGCTTAAGGTCTCATTACTGTGTGCCCAGCCAGAGGAGGAATTAGCCTCCATCTTACTTTCTGTCCCCAGGTCACTACAAAGCCATATGGAATGACTACTCTTACATTGGAAGAGCAGCAGCCACGGGTTAAACAGAGCTGTGGGGTAAAGTGGAAGGTGGAGGGCGATGGTGCACATAAGGTGTGAGTTACTAGGAATGATGGGAAGAAATCAAGCATGTCTTTCTCGGAGAGTGGCCATTACATTTCCCTTACACATGGTAAATTGTCAGTTTCAACTTTCATTACCACTATTGTAGTACACTATGAACACACACTCAAAAGCACACCAAGTATTAGCTAGCCATGTAAAACAGGCTACTTTCAAAATATAAAGAGTGGAGAGTTGGACCATTAGGCCCAAACCTTTCTGTCTCAAAATCTTTCTGTCTCAAAATCTTTCTGTCTCAAAATTATAATGCAATGCCTTTTAATTTTATGGGTGGAGACACTGAGACTTGGGCTGACTAAAATTCTATGTAGAAGATTTTTGCAGAGGAGCCAGGAATTGAATCCAAGTCACCTAATGCCCAGTGTGATGCCACATACCTCTGACCACACAACTGCACAATTGTCTTCATCTCCAGAGCACTTTCTAGACATCCCCTGCCACTTCTAGAGAAGTAACCATTAGCACTGTGTCCAGGGACACACATACACAAATCATATTAAACATACAGCCTGTCCCAAGGGGCCACAGTGCCTCCTGGCCCCACTCCCCAGGCTCCAATCATCCTGGCTTCCCAGGTGCCTTCTGCACTGGCTATGAAGACTACTCAGCTTGCTCTCTGCCTCGTTTACATGTAAACTCAAGCAACACCCACTTGGCACAGTCTTCCCTAATGTCCATGGTTGGGAAGTCAGAGCAAGAGGGTTATTTTATCACATTACCCCAAGTTTCTTCATAACTATCTGTGTGCTCACTTCCAAGTTACTGACTTAGAATGAAGTTCAGCAAACCATGGCCATGGGCCAGCCACCTATCTCCACAGTGAGCTTTCACTGGAATGCAGGCACACTGATCATTTACCTCTTGTCTGTCATGGCTTTCTGGTGACAACAGCTGAGTTAAATAAGTGCAACACAGAGCACATGGACCACATGCCCAACTGTCACCTGTCTGGCTCTTCAAGGAAACTGTTTGCCCAGCCCTGAGTATGAATTCCCTCATATAGCATGACTAGTCTAGAAGGCACCTGATTTCCAAATCAGGGAGTGGCACAAGTTAATTGATTTGACCAAAATCTCAAAAACCCTTTGATGGCAGAAATGAACATAGGAATATACCTTATAGAGTTTCTCTCTTACCTGCCTGACCATTATCATGACCAAGAAATTTTGGCTAGACAAGTCATAGGATCCAGGAGAGATCCTAACAACTATTACTCCACTTAAGGAGCATAATATTAAGCCAACTCTTAGTGACTTAAGCCTATACCTATGGATTAACACATCTTTCAACCCTCATCAGAGAAACTTCTTTTTGCAGTAGATGGTGGTTAACACCTAGACCCACAACTGGTCTAGGTGCATAGAATGAGAGACTTGTAAATGTTCCACCCCAGATAGGACACCTATATCACACCCCATCCTCCCGAGACCTGGGGACCATGTGGAAGAGGAGGGAGAGGGATTATAAGAGCCAGAGACAATGGGTGACTCTAAGAAAAGAGGTTTTCTGGATACAGCAGGAAAGCTGTATTATGAAGTCACAGCAATTGTAACAGCATGCATGAGACCTGTGCAAGCTCAAGCCAGACAAGACCCCAACATGGAGAGAAGAGGTGGGTATGAATCCCACACCTCGCTGAGCAGCTATTGGCAACTAATAGATACAAAGACAGGAAAGTTATGTTTGCTTAAAGCATGTGGTCCCTGGTAGATAGAACATGCTCGAATGGATAGTCACATACCCAAGAGGATATGGGCAATATAAAGTGAACTTGATAGATTAAAAAAAAAAAAAAAGAGGACACAAAGTTACGTGGATAGGGAAGAGGGTAGACCTGGTAGGAGATTGAGGTGACTATATCAAAATACATTATATGAAATTCTCAAAAGGTAATTAAGAAGAATTAAATGCAATTGAAAAGAAATAAATGCACTTCTTCTTCTAAATACCCGTCTTTACCAATCATACCACATAAGCATTCAGGAACTATGTTTGGGGTCATTCTATCAAAGGACAACTACAACACATTATACCCATTAAGAATGGAATGATCAAATAAACTACACCACACCCCAACCAGATCCTTAACTCTATTAATAAACAGCTTAAAAATCAGAATTCTCATTTTCAGTGGTTGAATGGATACTGAGAAAAAAAATTAAGTTCTTAGAGTCTCAGTTTTAATTTCTATTTACAACCTAAATACAAGTAGGTAAGAACTACTTGGGAAGCGTCACATATTACAAGACACTTTCGCTACACAGCATCTTTTGGGAGCACTGTCAGTTAGTACCTCAGGTCAACCAAGGGTGCTGATGGTGATTTTTAGATTTCCTTTATCCTATGATTACTCCAGTATCATCTCGAATATAAACTACCAAAAATAAGCCTCTGTAACTTTGCATACTCCTGTTAGTTCTACTTATACTTTTGCTTCAAAGAACACTGAGAACAGTTCAGTTGTTCACTTAACCAATTACTCCTCAATTTAAAAGACAAAAACAAAGTTAAAAGAAAATAGTGGGCCGGGCGGTGGTGGCGCATGCACTCAGGAGGCAGAGACAATCAGATCTCTGTGATTTCGAGGCCAGCCTGGTCCATGGAGAGAGATCCAGGACAGGCACCAAAACTATACAGAGAAACCCTGTCTTCAACAAAAAAAAGGAAAGAAAAGAAAATAGTGGTCTAAAAAGTCAACACCTGGTTCTCATGAGAGTAACTGACATACAATTTCATCCTATGGATGAATGTTTTAATGATTCCAGAGCAGACTCCCCTCTTTTCATCATTTATATCCCTCCATTTGTTTTCTAACAGAAAATTCTAGAAAGTTACACAAACATTTTACCTCCATCCTTTCTCATCAGCAATACTCACCTTAATGGTTAAGGTGAGTGTGTACCATTTTTTTGCTGTAATGTCAGCATCTCCTGAAGCATATGTGATCCACCCACCTGTAACACAAAAAAGAATCTCTCAACCGGCCTACTTTTAAAACCTAAATCCCAGGATCATACAACTCAGGGAGGTTCATGTTCCTACATGCATCTACCTTAAGGAAGCATTGTCCCTTCGTTTCCAGATCTGTAATTGATTTCAAAGGGGAATCCCTCATTCAGCTGCACACTACACGAGCATGCATGTATTGAATTCTATTCTATAACCACAGAACATAAGTGCTCACACAGCAGAATGAATGAGAGACACCTAAAAACTAGCTATGGCTGATGTGTTAGCATGTAAACCCACAGATACACTTCTATCTGGTTGGAGCAGTCCAAGACTACAAAAGCCCGTCAGCTAGCAGATCTGCTTACATGAAAACAACATCGATTACAATAGCGAGAGATGAGAAAAGGCTACTTTTGCGCTGATGGCATTTGAATGTCGGGAAGAAACCTAGGATTGGACATCAAGTGATTGCAAACTACAGCAGTGGGGACTGAAGATGCAGACTGAAATTCCTGGCTCTGGCTCTGCCACTAACTAGTTCTGGGGACTTTGGGAAAAGCAACCCATGTCTCTGGCTCTGCTTTGGATCAAAACATCAATGAGGTACCTCCTCACTATGACACTATGACAATATCCTTATCAGCTGTTACCTCTCTATTATTTCATTTGCAGAGCTGGGACAAAGAGCAGAAAACTATAAAATTTTTAAAAATGTCACTAATGTGACAAGTCACTAATGTGACAAGTCACTAATATGGAAAGTCAAGAGACTGAGAATTAAGAAGTTACCCCCATAAGCCCCCGCTGTCACCACAGCAGTGTGAGCTAAGTGCAATTCGATGTCAGCGTGCATCTAGGCCCCCATTCTGCGGTAGGAGCTGTTCTGCAGAGGCCAGTGCTGCTGAGACAGAGGCCAGTGAGAAAAGGCAAACTGCTTCCAAGAAGTCCGTGTAGTAGGGAACAGGAGTCTCCATTTTAAGAGGCTCAAGCGGTCCCTTGGTTTCGACAAGCACCAACAAGGTTAGTCTGTCGAATGTCTCCTCAGTGTGTTCTTCCTCCCATCACTGCTTCACGTGGGGCTTCACAAACCTACCCTCACCCTCACAGCACGGCATCCCCCAAATGTCCTACAAGCCTTTCTGCTGTTACTTTCTCGTTCCGGATCTGTCCTCCTCCAGAAAACACTAAATAGCTGTGATTCTGAATCGCGCGGTGCTTGCCGACACACATTGAAATTCTTCCCACCAGACACACAGGCTCAAAGTAAGTTCTGACCCATTAAAACATGTCACTTACCCAGGTCAGCTGTAACTCTGTAAGATCCATTTGCGAAAACCCAGAAGAAAATCCCTGTAGCAGTTCTAATCAGAATGCCACCTTTAGTCACTCTTCCGGCAATGAATACCCCTCCTCTCTCAGGGGTCTCTATGTAAACATCACACTGCACCGTCATGTTGGACCTGCAGAATCAGAGAGTCCATTACCCTCTTCGGTTACGGTACTAACCTAGCACTAACACGCCCCTTAGCAAATGCCTCCTAGCTTCAGGTGAGAGAGTGACTGGCTACTACGTCTGAGCTTGGACCAAGGATGGGCTTCAAGAATCTGACGGCTGTTTCAAGTTTCACGTGGTTAAATTCATCAACTCTGTTGATTCTTTTAGTTCGTTAATGGACAGTACTTACTAATTTTAAGTACCATAACAGTATGTTTCTTGTCTTTCTATTCTAAAACAATTTGTCATCGTGTTAGTGTGTTACTAAATGAGACACTTCCACAGTGCATAAAGGCAAAGTTTCTGGTGACTCTAAACAGAAAGGTTTACTTACATTTCTATCACCAGGGACCCAGCACTCACACAGCAGCTCACAACTGTCTGCACCTCCAGTTTCAGGAGAGTGGATGCCTTCTAGACTTTGCCAGCAAAGCATACGTATGGCACACAGACATACATGCAGGCAAAACACCCATATACATAAAAACAAATCTCAAAAAAAAAATTGAAGATAATAGTGTATGCTGATTCCGCAGCAGGACCTATGAACTATAACGAGGAACTTGCTAACTCAGCACAATGGTATCATCTCCCCAGTGCCTAACTCAGTAAAAGTCTGCCATGGGCCCTTGAATGTCCTTGTCTCAACTTCCTGTGTAACATGATGGTGCTGGTCCACAAATATCATTGTGAGAAGCATTTTACCCTGCCCAGGATGTCTGCCTGACACCTATATGAACGCAGTAAAGCACTGTTTACAGGCTCACTGGTCCATGGGAGTGTATCAAGGGTAGGCAAAGATTTGGCCAATCGGGAACTATCAGAGCTTTCACAATAAGCTCTCCTCTGGGTTGCTTTCCTTTGAAACATGTCACCAGGTACAGCATTTTCCCTCTAAGACAATAGTACCTCTCTAAAACATCCTCCCTGAAAATAACCTCTTCATACTCAACACCTAACAGCAATCAGGAAAAAAAAAAACGTGTGTATTGCCAAGTAATAAGTCATGCAATTTATCCAAAGTAAGCTAAGGATACAAGGATACCAGAACATCTGCTCTGGAAATGAAGTAGGGGGGATACTGGATCTAGAACTATGTGTCCTTCACATTTCTCTAAGTTTCTTCTTAAGTGAATTGTGCACAGATGAACTTTACCTCAAATAAGGGAGGAGGAAGGGGAGAGGAGAAAGGAGAGGAGAGAGAAAGAGACAGACAGACAGACAGAGACAGAGACAGAGACAGAGACAGAGACAGAGAGAGAATTTGTAGGTTTGTACGTCCAAGGTGTTAGCCATGAGAAAAATAGAAAATACTACCTAAAGCGGGCAGAACAGTAAGTCAGAACTCTAAAATTCCATAACTAAATTAAAGGTTAAGGTAAAAGTTTTATTTTTCAATTGCATGTTAACTGGACAAAAAATATAACTTATATGTTTATTATATATCTAAAGAAAGGGTTGAATTGCTTAGCCTTAAAAATTAAAGCTGGTTTGCTTTTTAAGTAGCTTCCTACACCTAGCTATGGTGGTGTGATTCTACGTTTGTCCAGCAGGTGGCAACACCAGCTCAACAAATCAAGTCTGGTAAAACAAAGCATTCAAATTAAAAGGTGTGCAAATAAATATTAAACATATATAATATATTATAATATATCATATCATATTTATTATATTATATTGTAGGGTCCAAGTGTCCTCAACTCTTTCATTCAAGTTAAATTTCTCTCGCCAAAGTTATTATCAAACTGGAATAATCTGAAGGAAGGACATGGGAAAAACTCATTTACTCATTTGAGTTCGCACAATTATGACCTGCCTATTCGGTTCTTGACACAAGAAGGACTACTGCAACCTCTTCACTCAGAAAGTACCCAGATCACAAGGTTAGCCACTGAGGGCCGCTCTCCCACACACCAGTGGTAATCGCCTATAATGCTGATCGTGCTGGAAGCATCCGCAGCCCAGGTAATAGGTCGCTGATTGAGAACTTGGCGCAGTGTGTGGCGATGGGGTCCAGGGTCTTCGAGATTCGTGTAGTACTCAAATACTCCAGTCTGGTCAGCAAAATTTGGAGCTTCACTAAAAAATGGGTAATCTGTTCAGAACACAACAAATACTCCGCTTAGTATCTCCGAGGCCAAGTGTCAACCCCTTCCCAGTCCTCTCCTTTCTGTATCTGTGGTGCATTGGGAAACCTTGGAATAATTTTTAAAACATAAATAACACTTACGCCCAACCAAAGTTTAGATCAAAAGACGTGTGTGTGTGTGTGTGTGTGTGTGTGTGTGTGTGTGTCTGTGATATATTTGGAGACGTAGATGTAAATAGTTGGCCAGATGCCAGTACCAGAACCCCAGGGCCTTTCTCTGTCAAGCAGCTGAAAGTTCATGTCCTGCCATGGGAATGTGAGACCAGCAGTGTGTGGCAGAGGCAGGAGTCCCCATGTTGGAACAAGCAGTGCTGCCCCCTGCAGGAGGGTGAGGGTGCATCACTCTGGCGATGTTCATCTTTTCTACAGCTGTCAGTTTGGGAGGCACATTATAGAGCTACTTGACTCATCTTTGAAGCGGGCAGTCCTACCAAACACCCCTGCTTAGTAAGCAAATGTCACTGCTTGCTGGGTCCTCTAGAGATGCAAGCACAGTGAGCATGTGTCTGTTTTCAAATGGTTTCCCCAACTGTCCATCCTCCAAGGCTTCTCTAATCACATTAGAACAGATCCTCCTGAGGACTGGGGGCTAAACTCCAGCGAACAATGAGTTGGCGCCCCTAACAATAGCATGACTGCCCTCTAGCACTCAATTGCCTGGCACTGAGATGGAGACGAAACGTGCTTTAGGCAGTACATGAAAGACAAGGCTAGTGATGGCCGAGGAGGCGACACCCAGCTATCACCTTAAGGTCCACCCAAAACAACTTAGAGCGACAACTTTCATTCCCCTGATGACTTCTGCGTTTTGTTTTTTCTGGAACTTTCAGATACAAATTCACCTCAAAGAACTGGAAATCTTAGCTATCCTTTAAGCAAATAAAACTCTAAGGGCCCAAAGGGCACTTTGGACATCATGCTATCGTTCACACGGTCTGACAAGCACAAAGTGCTCTACTTCGACGGAAGACGGGTGACAGGTGACGCCTGGTTAGCAACCGCTTACCAACATTGAAATCATCCTTGTAGCTTCTCGGGAAGGGCTGGGACTTGGGAGGAGGAGGGTAGCCACCTTTGCGACCTGTGGTCAGAGTGGTGAGTGTGATCAGTTCGTTCTCCTGCAGATCCATGGCAAAGCTGCCACTGCTGTCGAGGAGCTGGAAAAGAAGACAGCCACGTTCACGGCCAGATGTCAGGGACCTCACGGGAGGGGGCAGCCTAAAAGACATACGCTTAGACAGTCTCTCCGTTAGGGCTTCTTAAACACGCGGGGAAGACACAGCAACACTGAGGCCCTTGACGCTTTGTGAGGGTGTTTTACAAGCGTGTATAAATGACAGTTTACAGAAAGAATTCCACCAAGTGGAGGGCAAAGACCAAGAGGACCGACAGTCTCTGCCAGTCTCCTCTTCCACTGCACTCCAAGCTCTTGAAAGCTTGTTCAACTGGTGCAACTCAGAGGCCTGCTGTTTCTTCCAGAGCTTTCCTAACAGAAAAGACTGCACAAAACCTCACAGACAACTCAACTGTTAAGCATAAGAAACCTTTCACAATTGAGAAATAAAAATTTAAAATCTGCTTACTACATGCTCCGTTTTAATTTCAATTAGTAGGTGAGGTTAATGTCACATTTATGATCCTAGCAACTCTGTCTTTCTAAGTGTTTCGTCTCATCCTCGAGGCTAAGAATACCTATCTCAGAGGGGTGTTGAGAGGATTAGACCTGATGTTTATGAAGGGCTTGTTTGGCTCACCTCAATGTGTGGCCAGGGGGAACACTCTCTAGAGCACAGTTCCTGTGATAAGCATAGCCCTCTGCAGACATTAGAATCCCTGCATAACTAATGTGGGCACTGAGCTTGACCCCATCTTTGAAACTTCAATAAGTTTTCTCTACACTGAATTAAAGGCCTTAGTACCATATCTTGGCTTCAAGGGTAAAGAGGTGCAGAACCGTGAACATCCAGTGCTATATTCTGGCTCAGGATTAACTCCAGATAATATTCCTATGAGGGAAGCCAATTTCATTATGCTATTTCCAGCAAATTATTACACAAGCAGAGAGTGTTCTAATGGGTATTTAATCATTGATCTTGCCTAGTTAATTGTCAGAACATTATTATTAATAAATGCAGCAGATTAAGTCAATTAGATGACATAATATGCTTGCTTGGGCCAGTTCTTTCTTTGAAACCTTCCCTGAGGAGTCACCAAGTACCAAGCTCCAAATGCCGCTGGACTAAAAGCAAAACAAGGCAGAGTCCCAAGCTCAAGGTAGCCAAGGTGGTGGGGGAGCATTTACCGAGACCCACACATGGTCCTGCACTGAGCCAGGCGAGTCAGGCTTCAAAAAAACCGACATGAGCTGACCTATCTTCGCAGATATGAAGGAAGCCATTCTAGAATTTACTTGGTGAGCAAAGGCCAGCTCCTGAGATCTGCCTCTGGAAAGTTGGCTTCTACCGCCTGGGGGTGGAGGAGGACACGAGGGAGGGGGAGGTGGTTATGTGATAGGACAGTGATGGTCACGTGGGGAATGTGAACTGACGGGAAACTGATCATACACAACAAAGCACTTCAGGCACACCACTCTAGCGGCAGTGTGATGGCTGGCCCCGAGACTCAGACTGGAGTCCGTTGAAACCTTAGGCAGTTTCTGAATGATGAGTCACAACGAAGAACGGGAAGAGGCAGCAGGAAGAAGAAGGAACAATAGTGAAGACGAGAAAGACGCTGAGGCCAGAACTGCCTACAGTCAACTGAAGGAGACACAGCCCAGGACGGAGCAGGACTATCTCAAATGGGATGAACATCTCTCCCCTGGGCGGCCGGACAATGGAGGCACATCCACAACACAAACACGTGCTTAAGGACAGAGCATGGCTAGGGATGCAGAGGCTTGTCACACCTTCATCGGGATTACTCCTTAAGAAAAATACGGGGACATTTTTATCTCTACTGTCCTGCAGCCATAAAACCAACTTCATTTTAATTCATTAATCAAATGTGTTCCTTTTTCCTGTCGTGACGCCCCAAACATAGGGATCAATTTTAAGACTACCCATAGAGAATCCAGTTGTTTAAAGTGAATTCTGTCCGATGGTCCTCCAAGCTTGGTGTACCACACCTGGAGCTCTTGTATTTCTCTCTGGGGAGAAAACACAAGACAGCATGCTTGAGAGAGTCTTCATATCCTGAAATGAATACCTCAAAAAGAGCAATGTTCACTGTCTCAAGTTTCTGAGTCATCTCAATGTTGAAACAGTAACACTTTTGAAAACAGGAAGTCAAGCTCAAACAAATCTTTCACTTCCTGTGAACACTAGGCACTAAGCAAAGCAGGCACCACCAGCAACAAATGCCTGCATGGAAGTCCCTCCACGTTGTCCTTCTCTGTTTTTGTTTCTGTTAAGACACTCCAGAGAAACCTGAAGAAAATCTGCACAGCCCTAGAGACAGTGACTTGCATTGGTAGGGGATCGAATCAGCCTGGACCCTTATAATCCTGAATTGGGCATGCTCGAAGTAGTTCTGTCATCATCTCCTTTTGAATGTGTGTTCTATGACCTTGCTCAGGTAGGCAAGAATCTGACTACTGCGTTTCCTTATTAAACTACTACCTTAAAGTGAGTATACTTGGAAACATGCCTGTTTTTAATGTGTTTTCCTCTGTGACTATGTCCAGCAGAAAACTGCCTGCTTCCTTTACAGGGGAGAGCGCTGCAGACAATAAATCTCTCTACTCTTTTAACCCATTGCATTAACACCTGAGGACACTGGCAATGTCACACACAGATCTTAGTGCCTTGGCCCTGATAAACATTTAATTATTTTAAAATTCTTCACTTATTAGTACAGAATCTTAGCTTGCTTTCTTCTGCCTTCTTGTATGTTACTTGTATGTTATCCACACAAAATGAAACTTCTTCAAAGGTAATCATTACGTTCTAATCATTTTTTCTTCAAAGAATATATTATCTTTTTTTTTTGTTTGTTAGTTTTTGTTTTTGTTTTTCAAGACAGGGTTTCTCTGTGTAGCTTTGCGCCTCTCCTGGAACTCACTTGGTAGCCCAGGCTGGCCTCAAACTCACAGAGATCCACCTGGCTCTGCCTCCTAAGTGCTGGGATTAAAGGCATGCGCCACCACTGCCCGGCCTTAAAGAATATATTATGATAAGTGCAAAAATACTAAGTGAATATTGATTTGACATGTGGACAAAAAGTGATGATCCAGTATGGATATTTAATAATGCCCTAAAAGTATCTTAAGTTATTTTTCATATTTTAATAATTATCATTAATTATAATCATTATGAAGTACAATAATTTCACTAAATTCAGTAAATATGTGCCACATTGACAATGATAATTATAGACATATAATTCAAAAGAATATGAAAGAAGATGTATCTCCATCTTCACAGTGAATCACATGAAAAGCAACAGATCCACATGATTTTAACAACTTGGTAAAAGATTTCAAGTAGTATCTTAGGGCTTCTGAGTAATCATGGCCACAGGTAGTTGGGTGGTCTTAACATCTCAAGTGTCTCTGACTGTCTTTGTCAAATGTTTTTAGATAAATGGATGACATGAGCTCACACTATAAAAGGACATACAGCTTTTGGCTTGATTTCGGAGACAACTGTTCAATAGCAAAAAGCCTATGGCAGCGCCTCTTTCTGAAGCCTTCCAGCTTCCCAGAGCCTGGTGTTTAATCAAATACAGAATACAGCTATCCCACCCTGTGCTTTGTGAGCAAGCTCCCCTTTGCTGGGTGTTACAGAAACTACACTGCTTTCTGATGGCAATTATTGGATGTTTTGTCTTATTCCTTTTTTATTAATAAATTTTGTTCTCTTAATTTTATGCATGTACATAATGAATTCTTGGTGGTCTCTCCCTTAGCCTCTCTTATCCTCCCTCTTCCCCCAGCCCTGCTAGCCACCTAATAATTCCATGATATCACAGGTGAGAACGTACACTGGCTTCTTCCATGTCAAACCTAATAAGAGGTTTAAAGAAATTGATAACTTTGGGGTATTTTGTTTAAGTGGGCTTTATTTTGTTTGTTTTTCACTATAGCATACTCAATCTAAACTTTAGTGCTTAAAAACCCATCGCCAGGGGGCGGTGGCACAAATCCCAGCACTCAGAAGGGAAAGGTGGGATGCTCAGGAGGTTGTGGTCATCCCCCACTGTGCAGTGAGGCTAGCCTAGACCATGTATTATATAAGACCATGTATTTAAAAAAAAATGCAGGAGATACAAGGCACCAGGATAGGTTCTATTTATACACAGATTCTTAGTAATTCTATAATACATGATTTCACTTAAGAATCAATGGCCTGTAATAGAACACAAAATGTTCATAAATTTTTAAAGATTTGTTTATCTGTTTCTGTATGCTCACATGTGTGACCTTTGGAGGCCAGAAGAGGGTGTCAGATCCTCTGTAGCTATACGTAGTCATGAGCTACTTGACAAGGATGCAGAAAACCCACCCCCAACCTTTAGGAAAAGCAGCAAGCACTCTCAACCACTGAGCCATCTGGTCAACCCTAACATAAGTTGTGAATGAAAATAAAAGTTAAACATAAGTACTTACCAAAGACCCCTTTAGAGTGAAGGTAGCCACCTGGTGTGAGACATTATAATACGGTAGATATGGCCGTATACACATAGAATGTTTATGACTCTGAGGGAAGAAAGTCATGTAAGTTATCCAAATAACATACAAGCTATTCTGTGAAGGAAACATTATATAATCGATGCCAGAAGAGTAGCAAGAAAAGGCAAACATTTGTAACAATATGAATCCATTTCAAATTATAAAAAAATACATTACTAACATAACTTTAATAAGTGTATAGTGTGTGTGCCTGGCCAAAGCGTAGAATAAGGAAATGAGCTTAATGGTTACTTAAATACATAGAAACAGGCAGCAAAGCACCACTGTGCTCCAGTGCGGGTTTTCAGCAGGGCCCACATAAGAGACAATGGCTGCAAGTCCTCTCAAGAACACCAGGAAGAGTGCTCTCCAATCAGAAAGGCATGAAATGAAGCAAAAAACAATGAAAGCTGCAAAATCCACAGAAACACCAATATAAAAATAACTTGGTATGGAGCAATTAAGTCAAGGAAGAAATCACAAAGAAAATTAAAAAAAATACAGTCTGTGATCGAAAATGTTAAAACAAAACAAAATGGATAAACTAAAGTCCCATATATGGAGGAAGTGAAGGCTGTCCACGCCTATATAGTTGTAGGTGTTCCTTCTACTTTGAGAAGCTAAACAGTTTTCAGAAGGGCAAACCAAATCCATAGGACAAAAAAATGAAGACAATAAATACTGGTGTGAAATACTGAAATGCAGAAAACGAAGAAAAACAACATTATCCCCTTGGGAAGATAAATAAACCTTCAGAAGACTAATCAAGGAGAAAGAGACATGACTTGGGTAACTAAGGATGGGAATGAAAGCGGACCATTCCTACCAGCTTAGTACGACTGAAAAAGGAATTAAATGAGGGATTCTGTGCTCAACAACACAGATCAGAACGACAAAAATGATAGAAAAATAGAAAAGCTTCTGAAAAAAATTATAACATCCAAAGGGACCTACAGTAAGTAAAAAGATCCTTAAACTAAAACTCCCATGAAGGAAAATCCTGGGGGCAGATGACATCATATATGAATTCTGTCAAACATCTGAAGAACACCAGAACTTCAGAAACATTCTCAAATCACTCCATGGGGTTAGTAGCTTCTCTCCTCCCAGAACCAACAGGACATCATGAGGAAAGGAAACTCTAAGGAATCTACCAAATCAAATCCAACATCAAATACGAAAGATCATGCATGGCGTCAAAGGATGATTCATCACAGGAATGCATTGTGTGGTCCCACATCCAGAAGTCAGTCAGTATAAAGTAGCAGACTATTAGAGTGAATGATGGGCAAAAGCAGCATGATCATGCATCCTGTGAAACCCAGAACTCTGGATAAAAGGATTCAGCATGCTCCATACAAAAGGCAAGCTCCTCAACCTGAAGTTGTACACAATGGCAAAACCCCAGCAGCTAACAGCTCACTCTACAGTGGCTTTTCTAGATGGGCAGCAGGACAGGACAGCTAGGCAAACAAAGAACACACAAGGCTTCTAGGCCAATGAAGGGAGGTCTAGAGGGAGGACTGAAAGGATCTTACTTACTCGGTGTGCTCATTTAAACAAAATCCTCCAGTAATCCACAGAAAGAACCGATTGTGAGGACAAGATCAATACATAAAAATCAATTGCATTTCTACACATGAGAAATGAAAATGAAATGGAGACAAGCCATTTACAGTGGCATCTAAAAGAATAAAATACTCAGCAATATTAATAATAAATAAATAAGTAAAATCTAACGATAATTTAATAAATAAATTTATTAAATAAGCAAGAGGAAATATGGCTTCCACAATGAAAAAGACAGTGTATCATGGAGAAATTAAGTAAGACATGACACACAGAAAGACAGCCCACATTTGTTGACTCAGGGTAGAATGGCATTGCTTCCCCACATTCCTATACAGAGTTAAGAAAATATCAAACTTAGGTTGTAAGCTTGAAATAATTAGTTAGCTAGTCCTAAAACTCGTGTTGAAATCCAAAGTACCCGAAATAGCTAATCTTGAAAATGGTCAAGCTAGAAAACTCTCCCACCAAACCCTTACTCAGAAGTACAGTAACTAAGATGCAGTGGTAACTGCTAAGGTACAATCATTACAAATTGCTTTTCAGCATGTATGTGAAGATAATCCAAGTGGAAAAACTACTTTTCAAGACATGGTGAAAGGCAAGCTAGACACACACACACACACACACACACACACACACACACACACAAGAGGAGGAGGCTGAACAAATGCTAAGCATCTCAGAAATAACAGGATCAGAAACCTAAATGTAAGACTTAAAACAATGGCAGTCTTGGAAAAAAAAAAAAAAACATGTAAATTTCAAATCCTCATGACCTTGGCTTAGTCAATCATTTCCTATGTATGATACTATAAATGTACACAAAGCAAAAGGAAAAAAAAACTGAACTTCACACAAATTTGAACTTTTTTACTTCAAAGAATTCCACTACAAAGAGACAAGTTGGGCATAGTGATTCCAGCCATTTGTGATGTTGACACAGCAGGATTATGACTCTGAGATCAGCCTGGCCTACCCTGCATATGCTGTAAGGATGGGAGCAAATATATGAATGTCACATGTGTCTTCTGAGAGGTTTTAGACAGATTATATACGAAGAACTCTTACAATTCAAGAAGAAAAATGAAAATACGCATAACTTAAATGGACAGTGTAACTCTAAATAGACATTTCTCCAGTGAGAACATACAGATAGCCAAAAGATATATGAAAATACAGCCAGCATCATTCGTCACTAGGAAAAGGAAAATCAAACTACAATAACACCCCCTCACACCCTTGAGAATGGCTGTAAGCAAAGAGACGGACAGTAATTGCTGGAGAGGACAAGGTGGTACTGGAAGCCTTATGAACTGCTGGTAGCAAAGAGAAATGGTACAGGGAACTGGCAACTCTTCACCCTGTTCAAGTTAGTTTAACCTGGCAGCCCGCTCCTAGCCACAAACCCAAAGGAACTGACACATTCGTTCCCAGGAAGCCCTCCATAGGAGAGTTAACTGCAGCATTCATAGAGAGCCGTGATGAGGTTCAAGGCCAGCTATCCCAATAGATCTCTAAGGATAAAGAAGGCTTAGAAACAATGGAAGGAACAAGGTCACCATCAGACCCTGTCTCCCACGGTTCTCCCAGGGAGCCAGTCACAAGACTCTTAGAGAAGCACCCTCCTATGCCCAGGAGAACACAATGCCCTTCTTTTCTCTGAACACAAAGTTTCTGGTGAAGTACAAGATGCACACTAGTTTAATATCAACAACAAAAAAATTACCATGGTTTCAACGATGATGGTGAGGTTCCCTAAGCCATCAGTCAGAGCTACATAGCTTCCTCCTTTCTCTAGATGGCCAACTGTCTTCAGGTAATACCAACCAGGTTGAGTAAACTGAGTTGTATGAGCTACAGAAAAAGGAGAAGAAAAAGTAAAGCAGACAACTTTAAAAGAAAACAGTCTACCGATTTGAATCTGAATAATTCTAAGCAGCTACATTCTATTTTAAGAAAGTATCTCCCAACTTTATGCTTCCACTTTTAAATACTTCAGCTGAAAGGTGTAACAGCAGGAAGGCTTTCGGAACAACCGATAAAATTAAATGACCTGAAAACTCAAGTGTATTGATTGTGCATTCCTTTTACCAATGTGCAAAATGAAGTTACTCTTGCCCGGGCTTGCTCATCACTACTCATCCTATCCTAACAGAACATGGAAGACTCAAAAGATTTAAAGAAAAAAAAGGAAAGTTTTAAAAGTTAGCAAATGTGTCTCAGGACCATTTTGTGGTCTCAAACAAATCTATTTCTAAAGATATATATATATATCACCACCTCTGAATCTGGTCCTGAAAATACATTAGGCAATATTCCATGTTCCTGACAATTCCCCAAAGTTCACAAAGTAAGTGTAACAATGCCAGCAACTGAGAGGTCATCTAACCAGCACACAGAAGTCTTGCTTAATTTTTCCACCATTTTGAGGAGCTATTTAAGGAACTTAGAATGTCATGATTACAATCTGAGAATAACACAAAAAAGAAAATTATCAAAATACGGGTTTAAAATGAAAGCAAGCTGACTTAGAATTACCTTGCTTTGGAAGAAATTGGTTTTTTTAAAAACCTATGGTATAATTCTGAAGCAAAGTAATTATAAATGTTAACTATCTTACTAAAATATTAAAGAAAAAATTTACTATTGTTATTTATTTTAAAGGTTATTAGCTATTAACATGATTATACTCCTTTGGATGCCATTCATTATCTGCATAATCAACTTCTATTGTGACTGATACTACTGAAAAAGATCTGGGTTTCATTGAAAGTATATGGATTCGACGACCCTGTCTTCAAGCCATGTAAATTATGTCATGTCTAGTGGACATTTTAATTGATTTCCTCCCAGCTGTGAGAAACTCAACTCCATTTATAATTAGTCTCAAATTGCTTTTTACTATTTACTTTTACTCTAAGATGACTCTAGCATCTACCTAGTCTCTTCATTTCATATGAGAAACACAAAATCTTCAGCACATGACCATTTTTTAATCTATATGAGAGTCATAATTTTATCTTTTTCTAAAATTCATATCTTCACTTAGTAGATGCAAGGACCAATATAAAGCCTTCCTATTTCACCTAACATGTATATTTATTTTGATTAATTTAATGATTATAATTTCTATTAGTCATCTAATATTATTCACTTACTTTAGTACAATCAATGAAATGAAATTGATATAAAAGAATAATCCCACTGGGTGGTGGTGGTGCTGCACGCATTTAATCCCAGAATTCAGGAGGCAGAGGCAGGCGGATCTCTGTGAGTTCAAGGCCAGCCTGGTCTACAAAGCGAGATCCAGGAAAGGCACAAAACTACACATAGAAACCCTGTCTCAGGGGGGAAAAAAGAATAATCCCAAAACTCCTAGACATGCTGAGCTTTGTTGAACATTTCTAAGTATATTCATTCCATCAGCTATGACCATGATTAGGAATCATATACTTAAACGATTACGTCCGTCTCTATCACTGGACATCCCTTTACCCTATTCTGCTCTCTGTTCCCTCTTTCTTCCCACTTTTTAAAGGCCTGGTCTCCGAATATCGAGTATGAAATTCAGAAAGCAGTCAGGTTATCCAAAATAATGTTATAATGGCACATCTCCCCTAACATAGTCACACACTTAAAGCTTTCTGGTTTGTCTCTTTTGGGGAGAAAGAGATAGAATCTAGACATCCATACCTGATATCCAGATAGGAGAGTCTACTACATAATGCCCACTCCATGGCTCCTGGGCTGTCATCAGTCCACTTCGCCCATAAGGCAATTCTTGATAGTAACTAGCCACCAAATTCCAAGCAATTGTGCTAAAACATTAGGGTGAAAAAAAGAAACACCAAAATACTATGTAATAAAAACATAAATATCTAAAAGACTGGAATAAAAACTTCTTTCATAATTATATGTAAATGAACATAAACTTTTAAGTGCCCCAAACAAAACATATGCTGCCTCAGTTCACTAGCATCTTTAAAAATCCAGTTCACTGTTCTTCTAAGCATTTTAGTGGTGAATCAGAGAATTAAAAGTAACACACACATACACATACACATACACATACACAAACACCAACACACACACATGCACACACACATATATTCTTGTACAATACACATATATATTCTTGTACGATGCACACACATGCACACATACACACACACACACACACACGCACACGCACACGCACACGCACACGCACACGCACACACGCAAGAATTCTGCTTAACAGTAGTCAAGCCAAAAGATGAATCATGTCATGTCAAAAGATGAATCTTGACATGTTGACAATTTGAAACAAGTACAAGTAAAAGCTTGTCTATAACTGTTCTCCCATTGACAGCCTTTCAAATACCCCAATTTCACAATATAATTTCCTAGAACTTGACTTGGAACTGCTGCAGTTTTAGAGCAAGAACTCTTAGTCAGACTGGCTGGGTTCAGATCAGGACTCCACAACCTAACCTCTGTTGACCGCTGTCCCCTCCTGTGAACTGAGGGTGACAATTGCACCTGGATCACCAGGGAACAGGGAGGATTAGATGTATTGACCAACTCTAGCCTCTATTATTCCTGCTTCCGCTGAAGTACTAACTCACACAGCTTGCTGGTCTGTTTGCGGTCCTTTCTTTCAGATGACAGACAGTAATAATTTACAGCACACACTGAGCTCCAGCAGCAGAGCTGTGACCCTACAGCTCTCTGAAAATTCAAGCACAAAACCTAAGTTTTTATACCTGGCTGGGTTCCTTACAGCTGAAAAACAAACAGCACCCACCCCAAGGCTTTCATTTCCCTGACCAAGTGTTCTCCCAAGACACAAAGGTACTCTGGCACTCTTAGACAATCTAAGCCTTCTCATTACCTCAATATAAAGTAAAAATAATAATGCTGATTAAATATACACACACTATCAAATGGACATCATAAGAGTTCCCATGATCTGGGTCACACATGGCTGGCACCCTCTATTTGTACACTAGTGTTTTCCAAACGTGGGCATCATCACAATTGCCCTGAGTACTGACCAGATATACAAGTTCCAGGGTCCTGGAAGTCTGAGCAACTGTCTAGAAACCCGTTTAACAAGCATTGCAGGATGAGTTAAGACAGGGCATAGGTAGGAAATATTTCTTTATGTAACAGAATATATGGAAGTAATGATAAGTATCTGGATATGGTGATGTATGCCTGTAATTTCAGCACTCAGGAGGTTGAGTGGAGTGAGAATATAGAGAATTCAAGGCCAGCCTGAGCAACATAGGAAGACTGTGTCTCAAAAACAAAACAAATAAAAAAAAGGGGAAGAAAAGAGATGAAGTAAAAATATACTCAACATGAGGGAAAAAGTCATAATGCCTTGTTAAGTGAGAAGCAGCTTACTCAACAGACCATATACCAAGGTGTCAATTTATTATTTAAATGTATATAAAAACAGGAGACCATTTTAAGGACCATTGTTGCAAGATGGCAACATTATAGGCAGCCTTTGTCTCACTTGATACTCATCTTCATTTTCTCAATTGTCTGCAATGAATATGCATTATCCTAATACCAAGCAAGCCACCACAAAAGTATGTATATTGGCTGGCTTTTATTAGGTTTCTAATTATTTTATAAGGCTAATTTGGATCTAATTACTCCTAAGCTATCATCAAGTCATTTAGGAAGTGTCCCCTTTAAGAATAAAAGGGATTGTGTTGTTCTTTACAAACTTGGTTTTGTGAAGAGTTAGATAAAGTTAAGAGATCCCATAAGGAGTCGGCCACTCAGGGTAGAAGTGAGTACCAACTAAAGGCTACTGCCCTGATGGTTTTTTTTTTTTTTTTAAGGTAGATATGAAAAGAAGGTGTGTGGGGAGGTAACAAATCTACATTAAAAGAGACAAGGACCAAAACTGCTAAATGGAATGCACGGACCTGTGCTCTATCTTTCTTTAAAATAAATAAATAAAAGTTACAAATGACATTTTAAAAATATGAATAAAGACTACGAATTAGAAATATTTTTATATGCTCATAATTATGAAAATGATATAATCATGTGATAAAATATCCTTATGTTTTGGAGATACAGACTGTAATTTAAAATACATGTAAATTATCAAAAATCATTGTACTGCCTCAGTAAACTGTTCCCCAAGAAACCCAACTTACTTTATACAGACTCTTCCCAAATATAGAAAAGAAGATATAGATTAGACAAATATTAGGCATATGTAGACTAAGTCAATAAAGCATATGTTTACAATCATTGAATCTAGGATATAAAATTACAGTGGTCCATTATATTTTCCTACTTATTACATTTTCTAAAATTCATTATAATAAAAGCCCCCCCCCAGGAGGGGCTTGGACCTGCCTCTACTAAATGGACCAGGTTCTGCTGACTCTCTATGGGAGGCTTTACCTTCCTGTAGGAGGGAACGGGGTGGGGAGGAGGCTGGAGGGACAGGAGGAGGGAAGAGAGGGATCTGTGATTGGTATGTAAAAGGAATAAAGAAAAATTTAATAAACTAAAAGCCCCCCCCCAAAAAAAAAGATTGTAAGTAACTTACGAGGTCATATTGCCATTGACATAATTCTGATTCAATATGCGACCCCAGCAGCCTGCACCATCATCATCGTTGACGGTGCTAAAATCTTCAGACGACCAAAGCTTCTTTCCTGTCATCTTTGCATTCCACACTGTATGCGTTCCAGGATAATGTGCTCTAGGAAGAGAAGGGAGCCAGTGAGGAGCAGTCAGAAGGTTCCACTTCTATACATGAGATGAGTGAATTGAAATACAGCTCTTGGCCAAGGTTTGCTATTTTAAAACGGTCAAGCAGTTTCCAGAAGACAGATGAAAGATGGGAAGGAGACATCCGCTTCCCACTTCCATTGCAGGCACTCTACAAACAGCAAGTAAACAGAAAGGCAGAAACCTTCATCCACACACAGAATAAAATGACAATATTCTGGAAACCATAAATGGATAGACGTTAATGAGGCCGCTACCTGGCCCACTGCAAGTGGAGAACAAGGTACAGAAAGACTCAGCCTTTCCAGGGTGAGCTGGGGAGCTCTGGACAGGAGGAAAATAGTCAGGAGGAGGCCAAGCAAGGTGAGTCTATTCTGTCTATGAAGAAGCAATAGATTCTCCCTCTCCCTTTGGAGACAAATCTTGACATTTACTCCAAGTCAAAACACTAAAACAAATCCACAAAAGCCCCACGGCTAATAGCATACCAGTAATTCTTGTGTGAAAAGGATGAAATACACTGAGAAAATTAAGTTACTGTCTCAGAGCAGAAGTTATCCTCAGCCATGGGGATTTTAGCCCTGAAGGGGCTAGACAGCCATATCTGGACACTTTGTCAATTGTCCCTGCTGAAGCAGGAGAGGTTTATCAGCTGAACCTAGTAAGCAGAATCCAAGAATGCTGCTACATGTCCTGCAAGACAGAGGACAGATTCCAATGACAAAGAAATACTAGGAAAGACATCAAAAGTGCAGCAACTGAGCCTCTGTCCCAGTACGCCAAGCCCTTGCATTCCAGCATATGAACAGACTCCATCTGGTAATGTCTAAATATACACTGATGGTTGCAAGAATAAAATACTGCTGGAATGACAACTGTAGACACCACTGATGAAATGAATCAACACGACTAAAATATTAAATGTAAATTAGAAACTAGATAATAATAAGTAATACCATAATAAGAGTACATTCACTAACTTCAAGAATAAGATAATAAACTTTCCAGGTTAATTATTCACCCAGTTTTAGCAATACAAGCAGAATAATGAGGTTTATTATATCACAATTCTAATCTTTGTACTTTCTTGGAGTAGTATAACACCAAAAGATGACTGTGAAGACCTTTTAATCATTCCAGGCCAGGCCATGGTAGCAGCAAGCCCTGTTTGGGAATTGCTTGTATCAGTAAAGGCGGGTTGAGAAATAACATGAATGCGGGAAGAACTGAATCACGTGTCGCACGTAACAGAGAGCGCTACAGAATCTCTGTACCGGAGAAAAGTGAGGCTCCAGCAGGACCATGTCGAGTGGCTCAACACAGCTGAGCCAGGCTGGAGGCCACATTACAGGCACCCAGGAGCCTCTCAGCTCCTTCTAGGTCTAAAAACTTCATGTACTTACCTTATTACGCCAAACTTGAAAAACCAAACTGCTGATCTTCAAACTACTGATGACTGCAAGCCTATAATCCCAACACTCTCACATTTTATCTTTAGACCCTTACCTCTACACTCTGATCATAGTGGCACTACAGTCAGACATTAATTGTCAAGATATTAAAAGCTGGGGTGCTCCTAGTTGGCATTCAGGAAAATGTATGTCTGATATACCTGTTGTGGTTGTTTTCTGTCACCAGGTCTCATTCTGTTACCCAAGTTAGCCTAGAACTCACTCTGTAACCCCAGGCTGCCCTCACACTCAGAGACCCTCTCGCCTCCGCCTTAGTATGCTGGCATGAACCACCATACCTGGCTTGTCTGATGTAGCCAATGAAAAAATACTCATATTTATATTTTTAAAGAATGAAAATCCTAAAAAAATTTGCTATGCTATCATTAATCTTTAGAAGGTCATAAAAGAAGTAAAATTTAACGCTGTCTTTATAAGGGTCCACATCTTCCAAACTATTTCTACATTTTACAGTTTTATAATCTGAACAATATTTCTCTTATCTTAAATATATCTCATGTATTTCTCTGAGCTTTGTTTATATTTTTGGTTTATTTAATTTAATCTAGCATATCAAATTTTCACTCAACATGCAATCAAAAAAACTGTTTTTTGATTTTGAAAATTAAGTTGCAAAACCCAGTCTGCCTCCCACTTCTGACACACCTAAGTTAGACTAGCCACATTTCCAGGGATCCATAGACACGTGACTGAAGGCTACTGTGTCAGACGATGCAGGCCCGAGGCCTTAACAAGGTGGGCGACAGGCAACAAACAAGCCCTTCAGGAACGGCAGAGGCTCGTTATGAGACTGAGATGCCAGAGCAGAAGCCAACTAAGTCAGGCAATGGTGTTGACCATGAGGGAAAGTGCACCAGGCATTGGGGAGAGTGGGGCCCAGCAGAAACATCCCAGGAGGCACAGCGACTCCAAAAGTAAAATCTGCTCATACAGCACAAGCCACATGCAACATGAACGGTGCCAGGAGGAGCCAAGGAACAAACATCTCATAAGACCGAAACCCAGAAACAATACAAATAACCACTGAGGAAGGATTTCAAAGGTCACACATACAAAACCGAAACAGTCACAAAATTGCTCAGCCGGGTAAGCATTCTAGGTCATTCTGACCGAGGGAGGGCTTCCTGTAGTAGAGATTGCCATCATGAAGATCATAAGCAGGTAGGTGTAGTGACTCAAACCTGCAATCACATCTCCTAGGCAGAAGTCATAAGGACTGTCTGAGATCAGCCTGGGCCAGAGAAAACAACCAAAAAGAAAATCCCCACTAAAGGCCTTTCCTACTTCTCTGGAATTTGTAAGGAACAACCGATGAGCGTCCTACATGGTCAACAAGGCAGTTATCCAAGTAGCTTGTTGAAATCTTGAGGTCCCCCTGCTTCTGTCCTCTGAACAATGGGATTAAAGACATGCATCATTTCATAAGTTATAACACATAAAAGTATAGAAGTGAGCCAAAATGTTAGCAGTTCAAAGTTCATACAAAGTTCTGAGAAGACATTCAAGAGAAATGTTTCCTTTGTTTACTGATGGAATGCATGTCTGACTGACTTACAAACATTAAAGACAGAACATCCTTTTCCATGATTTTTTTTTGTTGTTGTTGTTGGTAAAGTTTCTATGTTAAAAAGATGAGAACTGCTGTATTGATTTCCCTTCTTCATAAATTTCTAAGTGTTCAGTACAGGGGAATGCTACTCTCTTCTATGAAATGCCATCTTAATGAAATTTTAAACAGGCAAAATTATTCCTTGGTATTAAAGGTCAGGTTAGTAGTTACAATTTGAGGTAAATGCATAGAAAGGTTTCCAACCGGTCTGGGTACTTTACAATTTTCTAGGTGATAGGTCCATATGTATGTTTATTCTGTGGTAATTTATTAGCTCACCTGGCATGAGAAATACCAGTCATAGATGTAGTTAGATCCTCATCACCACTGTTTAAAACAAACAACAACAAAACCAAGAAAAAACAGGGCACAGCATAAGAGCATAGAGCAGTTCTCAATTTCAGCACAACCAAAATTGTTGGCTGGTTAATTTTAGACGTGGGAGAGGTGACCTGGGTACCCGGGAATTGCAAACACTTCTGGCATCCACCCACAAGATGCTAACGACAGGCCTTTATCTAACTAAGATAGTTACAAATAGTCCCAGAAATTGCCCAATGTTTCCTAGGAGACAAAATTGTCCCCAGCTGGAACAACTGATGTCTAGCTCTGAATCAGAATGACCGTGACCGGCAGACACAGACACAAGTCTGCCAAGTAAGAAGACACCTCCTTCAGCAAGAACCAAGAGGCCAAACCCACAGCGGCAGATTTTGCATTACCAGAATCATGGTATAGGTCATTTAATAACAAAAAACATATATAACAAGGAAAACCCAAATATCAGTTACATCAAAAATTATAAATGTGGGCTGGAGAGATGGTTGAGTGGTTAATAAAGCTTGATGTTCTCTTCAGGAAGCTGCAAATTCAGTTCCCAAACACCCACGTCAGACAACTCACAAACTCATTATCTCTACTCCAGAGCATTTAAGACCTTCTTCTGGCCTCCAAGAGCACCTGCTTACGTGTGGCCTATAAATGCACACACACACACACACACACACACACACACACACACACACACACACACATTTATAAAGAAAAGAAATATAATTTTTTCAGAGCAGTATTAGAAAGCAAAATTTAATTAAATGCAAGAGATGTATCTAAAATAAAATGACCTTGAAAGTAAAAAAATTAAAGGTAATGAAAACTAAAAGCAGGATTCCTCTTAATCTCAAACAAGGAAGAATTCAGTTCAAGAAATACTGAATGAGTCACAGAATGACATTTCTTTTGTTAATAGTTAGAAAGTACAAAGATAAAACATTAATTATCTGTATGCCAAGGAACATGGCACCAACTCTCCTGCAAACAAAACTGTAAGACTGAAAGAGTCAGTACTACTATAAGAGGAATGTGCAAGACAGCTCCACACAGACCATGTGGACAGTGTAATTAGTATACAGAGCATTTGAACTATGTCAGTGAATTTATATACTGAACCCAATCTGTATCCTATTAGAAAAAAATATCCTAAGTCAGAAAGTAATTCTTGAGAAAAAGAATTTTAAATAATACATTTACCATTATATGACCACAATCAATAAAACATTGATTAATGAGAACAAAAGAAATAAAGCTATGGCTCAGAAGAAAAGTGATTTTACTAAAATACCCATATTAGTAATGAGTAACGAAACACCAAACTTCTTCATGAAGTACAATAGAAACTACCCTTCCATTCTAACAGCCTTCCTAGCCAAACACATTCAAGAAGAACACAGTCTTGCTTCCCTCAGGTCTGAGATTTTCATGTAAGTTCTAATGCAAAATCTGCCATTTTTACTGTGTAAAATGTTTAAATATAAATGTACACTCTCTTGGGGAAAAAAAGCCCAAATGTAATTTACTCTCATCAATTTCCCAGAAGAACAGGCTAGACATGTGCTAAAGCACAAGGGTGAGCTGCTGAGATCTAGACTAAGAGAACTTCACAGGACAAGCTACCCAGTCACTTCCATGAGTTACAAGGAGAAAACAGGCAAGGAGTTAGAGGGGCTGAGTTACAAATCAATCGGAAGAGATGTCATTACCAACCAATAGATGACTCAAATGGATCCAGAGCCAATCAACTACAACTAGAAAACCAGAGTAATATATAGTTGATAATATCAAGAAACAATTACCTGCTTAGGTATAATAACGGTATTATTTATGGCAAAGGGGAAAGAATCTGCAATTTTATATAGACCTGATGAAATCTGTAGGGAAGAAATGCAACACAATGTCTGAAGTTTTTGTTTTTTTTTTTTTTTCCCAAACACGGAGAAGATGGGAAAAGAAATGGATAGACGCAGGAATGACAAATGGCCATGGGTTCTTACTTTCTGAGGCTGAGTGATCAGAACATACATTTTTATATTTCTGCTTACTTTGGTCAACACTGAAAACTCTTGCGTGGGGGCATAGCTCAATGATAGAGCACTACCATAAAATGTAATCACGGGAGCGGAGAAGGTGAGAAGAAAGGCACAGTCAACACCTGATAAAGAAACAACACACTGCTGGTTTTTGAGGTAAATTGCACCTTACCCTATGACATCAACCGCCTTCCAGAGGTCATGGTCCAGCAGCATGGAAGAAGAAATCGGCTCCCAGAGATTATCACTTGCTATGATTTTCACTTGCTGGAGACCTTGATAATCCAGCATTTTTCTTAATTCCTTTGGATACATAAACAGAACACAGCTTTTAGTGGCTGGAATGTGACCAAAATAGCCAGACTATCTTTCAAAACTCCTGCCTTCTGATGACAGTTTCAGTACTGCTTCTCAACAGGAGTGAGTTTCTGTGATAATACTGTGGAGGTATTTGCCTCCTGAGTTAAAATCCAGTTAGACAACAGGAATTCGGAAGACAGAGGAGACAGGTGTCCATAAAACTCATTAAACAGTATTACATAGAAATAATGCTATTCTTTTCCTTTTTATATGTGTTCTTCCTCAAATTTTCTATGTAGACACAATGATAAAATTGAGATATTATCTGTACTACATAGTAAAATACTCCAACATCTTATTTTAAGTATTTCTCATTATCTTTAAAATTCTATAACTACTGAAAAGTATCCCAGTTCTTAAATTTTTATATACCATATTTACTATAAATAGAACTGTCCCATTTTGCTTTCCTGTCTCTCATGCTTATAAACAGGGTAGGAAATAAGATCTGCTTGCAGGGCCATTTGCCTACAAACTCCTAAGGAAGTCACAACACTCCGTCAGGAAAACCAACACTCAGAACACCAAAATGTATAGATTGTCTATGTGGAAAACAGGGGCAGAGAAAAGGACACCAATTTATCCAGGATTGGAAGGAACCAATTCTATACCAAAGGACTTTCTTGGTTAACTGATACAATCAGCCCAGCTGTAAATCCTCCCAATCCTGGATAGTCTCTGACATAAGCAGCAGGTGTTCAATGACAGCTACCAATTAACATAAGGAAAAATGAAGGTTTTTCCATCAGCTCTGATTTTTGATGTTACAATGCTGTGGATATCGCTCTGTATAAATAAAATGCTGATTGGCCAGTAGCCAGGCAGGAAGTATAGGTGGGACAAGCAGAGAAGAGAATTCTGGGAACAGGAAGATTGAGTCAGGAGACACTGCCAGCTGCCGCCATGAGTACCAACATGTAAGATACTGGTAAGCCACGAGCCACGTGGCAAGGTATAGATTTATAGAAATGGGTTAATTTAAGATAGAAGAACTAGATAACAACAAGCCTGCCACAGTCATACGGTTTGTAAGCAATATAAGTCTCTGTGTGTTTACTCGGTTGGGTCTGAGCGACTACGGGACTGGTGGGTGAGAGAGATTTGTCCTGACCATGGGCCAGGCAGGACTGGAGAAAACTCCAGCTACATTACAATTTATGAAATTTCCAATGAATGTACTCTTTTAAAGAAGCAAATAATAAATTTTCTAATTAAATCCATGCTTCACTTTACAACAGTTGGTGTTTTAAAATTTATGTTCTTATATATTTATTGTCCTAGGTGCTGCAAGCGGCAGGAATATGTAGTATGAATTCAGCTAAATATGATAAAGCTATACCTGGAAAAACAAGGCATTCTTCCAGAGGAACGCAAATCTCAAGGTGTATTTGGTGTTATTCGGCTTTTAATACATCAACTATTTCCTGCTATGAATTTCTTGTGTGCTCTCATACCTTCCCCAAGAACTTCTAATAGTGCATTTTATCTGATATACTTCTCTAGCATTCAAAGCCTAAAGGCAGACAAGACAAAGCATTTCAGACCAACTGCTGAGTCTCCTGAATACAGGTAAACACCCTCATGGAGACACAGCCTGTCTCCTAGGAGACAGGTGAACTTAGGTACATAGCTTTGTTTCTTGTGCAGATGAAATTCAGATCCTCCTTTCTCTTATAGCCCAAGTGGCATTCCAGAGCAACTGACTCAGAACAAAAGGGCTTTTTTGGATATCTGGTGCAGTGAAGCCATGTTTCATAGTTCCAAGCAGTTACCCTGCCCTGCCAGTATACAGTGACATAGAAATAGAGAGGCGGTTACATTTTAGTGAGTTATAGACTCTCTTACCTAACCACCTGTAAGAGTCAAGTTGGAGCACATTTATGATAAACTCGTAACATTTCACCTAACCACTTATAAGAATATATTTTTAGCACATAAATTCCCTTTCTGACTTATTCCAGGCCTTATTTTGACCCCACCTCCTTTATTCTCTCCCCTTTTGGGTTGCAAATGAAGCTAACTCACTGCTCTTGTGGGGACCTTGGAAGCCTTGAATTGTATTGTGAGAGTTACTGCTTGCAAGGTGGTAGACCGGTTCCAGGAGAGGAAGGGGAAGGAACCAAGATGGAGAGAAATGAAGATGAAGATGAGGATGAGGCAAAAAGAGCTTAGTCAGAACTAGGATAGGACAGGAGGAAAAGGGACAGAGAGGAGCTAAGTATGAGTACAGAATTGAAGCTGGATAGATAGAATTTAATCTCACAGAGGAATAAAGTAAACGGATGAATAGAATTTAATCTCAGAGGAATAAAGTGGATGGATGAAAGAGCTCAGTGTACTTAGATTCATTCCCTCAGATTACCCCTGCCCAGCATCTTCCCCAGGACTCTGGGAGAAATTTCCTCGGGGACGGCCCCTGAGGAAATGTCAACACCTAGGTTAGAAAATGTAATGGAAGTTAGAGTGGCAAGTTGAATCCACCTTTCAAGGACTCTCATTTGAGCCAAAAGGTCAGTGGGATGGAGAATCCCTTAACTTACTTTAGGAAATCAATTTTGTGTTTCATTACTCAAGTATTTTTCTTATTCTTACAGAAAGGAAAAAAAAAACACAAGTCAATTATGCATTTATTTATCACTGTCAAAACCTAGTCTAGTCTTTATGGACTTACTCCTAAATAATCATCAGGAATTTTGTGTACATTTCTATATGCAATATAATTGAAAACATTGTTAAATGTACATAATCTGTAAGCTGTGACTTATAAATCAGTTTCTGTCTTATAATCAGTATGATTACAGCACTCTGGAGTCTTATCATATTTCAAGTGTTGTCTTTATTGGGCAGTCCTTCCCTTCCAAAAACTACAACTATTTATCTATTTACAAATAAAGAAGGAAAGATGGTCTGGAAGGCCCAGAGACTTCACACCCATATCTGTCTAGCACTCAGATACTAGAGACTTCACATCCACATCTGTCTAGCACTCTCAGATACTAGAAGGTGCTTTTCAGACATCATGATCCCAAACTAGCCAAAATCAATCATAAATATAACTGCACAGCAAAAATAATCTTAAAATAAGTGACACACTTTGCAAAGTACATAAATAACTATATATATTTTACTCTTAAAATCAAATCCCCCTGCTCTCCAGAAGCCATCTCACCATACATTAAGGACCGTGTATTCCTTAAGGTCATATGAACTGAGCACCTCCCTATATTCATTTGTCATGATTTAACTCTACAGCAGGAATTTCAACAGATCACAGAATCTAATAAATCCTCCTGCTATAAAAATAGAAAGTATAAATTAAATGTATCTATATCCCAAGACATTTAGTGTAAGAAAACCTAAGGTCAGAAGAAAAATAAAGTCTGACTTCAAAACACTAATAGTGAATCTAGGTGCAATAATTATATTACTAACTTAAAAGGAAGTGGAAACCAAATGTTAATAATTATAATGTTCCTAAAAATGAAATAAACACTGCCATTGCTATGCTAGGCATGCACTAACTTCAGCATCCATTCTTGCCTCTTTCTGACTCATGACCTTCCACTAACAATCATGTACTCCAGTTTTCTAATAAACCCACTGTGCTGACTTCCATACCCAACCCACTCCCGCATCTCTATGAACAAGATCTCCTAGAAAGAGCAGTAGATTGACCAGAACCTCAGTAATGGGAAGGTGTTGGAATATGCCAGGTCCAGAGCCTAGTTATAAATTCATGGGCTATCTTTAGCCCCCTAAATCACTATTCCTTGTCCACCTCTGTGTTGGACCTAACATCCCATGACATAGAGCATTTGGGGATGTATTATTTAACAGAACCCTAGTTTCTACCAGCCAAGGGGCTCAAAGTATCATCAGACCACATCTGAGGCCTACAGCTAATCATCCTGCTTTGCTGTAACTACCCATTTAATGTGTCCACCAATGCATATGACAAGCGTCTTGTTTGTGATTTTCTTTGTTCTGTTACTACAAGATTTCATAAAACTGCTTCCACATTGGAACATGAAATTGGGAGTAACCTAAACCCTAGACCATGGTCACTTGTATTTGTCTCCAGAACAAACGACCTCTTAGCCTTGGTGACTGCATTGACACCACCTTTTACCACCCTACTTCAGGCTTGCAGCCTGGCACTGACAGTCACCTCACTGGGGCGGCAATGGATCCTCTCCAAACAATACCCTACCTCCTTGCTAACTACAAATCTGAAGATGTGCCATCCCCCCAGTGACCACAAGAGTTGCGGTCTGGGCTCAATGCCACTCTTGCTCCTCTCTTGCCTGACCCATCTTTTTACACCTTTCAGCTCTGACTTCAACACCATGTGCCTGCCTTCGTAACCGGGGAGTGCCTGCCCACATACTCTCGAGTTCCTGCCACAATTATACAGAATCTCTTTCACCAGACTTCCCCAACCAAGCTAGGGAGAAGGTTCATGTCTTCTAAGTTTTTTCTGAAAAGCCAGTATTTTCATCATTCTTTTAGAAAAAGTATGACTAATATTTTCTATCTATCCCGTTGCCAAAACTTCTTTTGAGCATGAACAGTATTCCACATCATTGCATTCCAAACATAACAACAATGACTGACATAGAATTATTGAACAAATATCACTGATTTGTTGACTAAACAAGCAAAAGCAATGCATTGGAAAGTATCTGCTTAGAAGCATATACACTTGATTTAAAGAAAAGCAGAAAAAATTTAAATGAAATGTAGTTACAAAATATCTCTTGGAGAAAAGTGACCTAAGACGAGACAAACTGAGATGAAAAGGAAATAGTGAACAGCTAAATCTAAGAAGGGAAACTACTGGGTTTTTCCAATGACAGGAATCACTACTTTCAGTTTTCTGTTTCCTGAAAAGTGTGATAATAACCACCTCATGGGAGAGACTTGAAGGTATTAAAGTGATCCAAGAAAAGTAGTGAAGAAAAGTTTAAAAATACTGAGTACTACCTCTCCAATGATGGCAAACAGAACTGTGTATATTATATATATATACAAGCTCCTTAACGTTCTCTGTCCTAGTTAGCTTAACTGTCTACTTGACACAGGCCAGAGTCACAGGAGAAGAGTCTCATTTGAGGGACTGCCCAGATCAGATTGGCCTATGGTCATGTCCATGGGAGTTGCCTTGACTTTTAACTAATATGGGAAGGTCCGATCCACAAAGGGCAGCACAATCCCTAGACAGATGGCCCTGGGTTAGCTAAGCATGAACCTGAGAGTGGGCCAGCAACAGTATTCCTCCATGGTTTCTGCTCCAAGCTCCTTAAGCTCATGCCCTGATTTGGCTCAGTAATGGACTGACTTGGAAATGTAAGCCAAGTCAGTCCTGTCCTCCCCAAAGCTGCCTTTGGTCAGAGGATCTTATCACAGCCAGATCTGTAACTAGAGCACACAAGGACAATACCATGGGTATTTCAAAGAAATTCAAAAATACGATGAAGAAAAATGCTAAATTTATTGTGTCTTTAAAATCTAAAATAATAATTGTTTTTATAACATTTATCAGAATTCAGAATTATAAACCTAATATATATAATATGTATATAATATATATGCACACATATTTATATATGTACATATTTTGCTTGTTTGTTGAGATATATAATCCTGACTGCCCTGAAACTCACTATTTAGACCAGAGTGGCCTCAAAGCCACAGACCTGTCTTTGCCTCCCAAGTACTAGGATTAAAGGTGTGCACCACTACACCTAGCTAACGTTTTGTTTCATTTTGTTTAGTTTTTCTTTCGGTGCTAATGGGCTTCAAATACGCATGAAGTCCACTGTAAGCCACAACCCTGCCCCATAAAAGAACATTCAACATAACTCTTCAGACAGAAGTCATTCAGGGCCTACGGGGATCTGCATACATATTCTTCAATATCAGGAGCACAGACATTAAGAATTTCATTTTATGTTACATCTAGCAAATTAATTATGCTGTCAAAAAAATAGTGTAATCCAACTGTCCTCCAAATTTCTGCATATAAAAGTATAAGAAAAAAGAGATTAAAGTTTTACAGACCTTTATATAGCTGGCATCAAATGGTCTTTCATTCCAAATCTGCAAGGCAAAAATCCAAAATATCTGAGCTGAAAGTTTTTAAATGTCCAAAAATGAACATTACCATTAAAGCGCACTTCTCATACCATCTTTCATTCTGATAAGCTATTTTCCTAGCTTCTGAAAATGGCTGTCATGGAATTTATAAATAAGTTTATAAAGCAACATACCTTTTAAAAAAATAAAAGTTTTTTTTAAAAAAAAATAAAAAAAAAATACTTAGAGAATATTTTCAAAGTAATTTATGGGGCTGGAGTGGTAGTACAATGTTAAAGAGCACTTGGTACTCTCTCAGAGGACCACAGTCATTTCCAGCCCCTGTGGTGGCTCAAAACAGTCTCTAATCACAGTTCCTGGAGGTCCAGTACCCTCTTCTGGCTTATAGGGACAGCAGGCATACATGGGGTGCACATACACACATACAGGTAAACACTCATATACATAAAATCATTTTTTTCAAAGTAAGTAATTTATTCTAGAAATTCCAACAACAGAATATGCATTCATGCAAAAAATATTATAACTGTAATGTGTACAAAGACTACATTGGGCATTGGAGAACTAACAGGCATGAGAATCACTGAAATAATTCTGTTATATAAACATAGTAAAAAAGTAAATTATTCACCAGGGCACTGTATAGAAGGAATTTGTTTACACAGAGAAATGTAATGCTCATTAAGAACACAGAGCAGGCTCTTAACCAGGAAGGGGAAAGGAAACGCACTCCACTCTCAAGTTCAGCATCATGAGGGTGCAGTTTCAGTATCGAGAGGGAACAGTTTCAGTATCGAGAGGGAACTTCTGAGACTTGAGTCTTGTAGTCAAGAAAACCCTTATAGAGGTGAGCCTAGAGTCTAGGTGTGACAGAGAACTTATT